GGCGGCAGACTTGGCCAAGAAGTTGGCCGCCACCGAGGAGACGCGGCGCCAGGACCGCCTGCGAGCCGCGGAGGAGCTGGCCGCGGCCGCAGACACCTCCACGGGGCTGCCGCCCTCGTCGCTCTACGTGGCTTGGTCGATTGAGGTGACGGGTGTGGTTCTGTGGTCGCAGGTGGTTGGGGCATGTTTTGGTGCTTCGACATCCACGGGAGCAGTATCGAATTTTGACATCGAACCATATCATATTCATATCGAAGCATATATCAAACCAACCAAGGCGAATTTGGTGCAACGGCCCCGCCCCCCAAAACACCGGCCTTCCTTTTATGTAACGGTCACATGCCAGGCAGCCTAAATGATTCATCTCATGATTCAGGCGGTTTTTTCACCCTCAGAGACTGGCTTAGTGTACTACTTCTTGTTGAGCCATCATCCGCCTATACTTCGATCGATTCATCTCCTTCTTGATCTTTCGCTCCGAGGTTTTGACCGAAGAGTACTTGGAGAACACCACCATGACCACCTCTCCTGGCACCATCGGCCTGGATGTGGCGAGCACCTCCTGCCGGTCGGTGGTCGCGAACGCGCAGGGGGAGGTGCCGGACCGGACTTAGAGGGGAATGTGAGGAGGCCAAGTGCCAGGAGCTGAGCCGTTCGTGACCTCTTTGGAGTCTGTAAGTGACCTCTTCAGGGACTATACAAGTGACCTCAGCCACTGGGATCTCAAGTGACCAGCCACTTTGGTCCTGGTGAAGGAGGCCAACCTCAACTTCACACCTGTTGTGTTAAAGGTAGGAGGCCGACCTCGGTGATTTGGGTCGGCGTTTTCACACACGGACCGGAAAACGGCATCGCACGGCGTCGCACGACCCGAGATGCCGCGACCTGGTCCAAGTGTCACCCGGCCGGGCGCGGAGCCGAGAGGTCTTTGGCCGCATCATGGGAGATTGCGTGCATGTGGCCAGCTCCACCACCATCGAGAACTCCTTGGAACTGTGTATGCCTTTGACCTATGGTAGCCAGGTGGCTTGGCGTTCGAGCTGTGCCTCACGACTCGTCGGAGCCATTGCTGTGCACGGTAGGGCTGTTGTGTTTGCCTGCAGGCGGACATTGATGCTTTCAACCAGACGGAGCAGGCCATGAGCGCAGGCATGCGCTTCGACTTCGCCTTGGCTTCGCAGGCACGCTTGGAATGCTCAGGTTCAGAACTCGAGCATTGAGTGGTGGAAGCTCATGGAGACTGGTGTCATCACCTGTATGGAACAGCGGTCCAAGTCTGAGAGATCCCAGCCTCAGGTGCCCAGTACCTATGAGATCAACACACCACCAGCACTGCAGGCAGGAGCAGAGCCTCAGATCAACTCAGCGTCCTTGGTCGGAGCTTCCGTGTTCAAAAGCTTCCGGACGGTGCTTGGTGAGGGTCCATGAGGGTCCATGGGCCTCACATGCATGTGTATTTCAGTTGGAATGCCCCTGGCCCTGGCTGGGTAGACTGGTCTATTTAATTTTGCCTTTTTTGAGGGGGTCATTGGTCCTTTGGGAGGCCTCCCTACGTAGCAGCTACACACCCAGGTGCCTCGAAGCTGCGAGGCAGCCCCAAGACAGAGCTTCTAAATTCGGAAGATCTGAGCACATGTCTGCATCAGCCATCCAGCCATCGCACCTCTAATGATGCCTGCCTTTGGGGTGGTGGCAATGGCCTCATGCAGTGAGTCGTGCATGGCCGCAGGCGATGGCTTGGCCTCTCATATCCTTTCAATGTTTGGATCCGGCCTGATCCCCCTGCACTGCTTCCGAAAACTAAGGAAGTGCCCGGTCGGCTAGGCCCTGTGATGTGGAATTGGGAGGACAGTGATGCATGGGGTCGCTTGCCACCTGGGTGGCTCTACTTGCCACTCAGCGGCACAAACTAGCGGCTAGCGTTGACATATATACAGACCGCCGCAGGCGAAGATGGAGAAGAGATTCAGCCTGCTTTGTTCCCAGATTTAGTTTTAATAGATGTTTTAAGGGCACATCAAGCACAAACCCATGGGGTTCCTCAACCCAATCGAACGACTGTGGGGTGGACGGTGAGCCTTGCGGCCATTTGCAGTCCTTGCACGATTGAAGCTGGAGGCCTCCAAAGCGAAGGAACCTGGAGGAGCACGTGATGTAGACTCTTGATTAATAAACCCCTCATGTAAAGAGGTGTTTCAATTCAACTCAATTGGGGGGGTCTATTGATCAAGAGTCTACATTAATTAAGAAACATGTTTGGTTTCTTTGAAGCCAAGATCGCATGCAAGGTGGACCGACATGGGTAGCTACATGTAGCTACGACATGCTAGGACGACCCTACCTCGAGTGAAAGAAGAAGGCCTTCTGCTCCATTTGAGTTTGAAATTCGACAATAATTCGACATGCCATTTTTTGGGGGGTCGCTTATGTGGGCTGCTAGCTCACTGGTAGCTGCCAGATGCTAGCTTCATGAGCAGTCCTGGATCACCCAGTCCTGCAGACTGTGGTAACATTCACCTGTCCGAGCTAGCACCCAGTTCTCATTTCTTCTCAACCTTTGGGACTCGAAGAAGGGAACTGGCAGGGCATCTGGTGGGCCAGGTCTTGGATGGGTGGTCGCTACCTCCTCACTACTTACTACTGGTCAGTAGACTCCCGGAACTGGGAAGAAGCACTTCCTTAAGCTTCATCGTTCTGTCTCCCGGAGTTTCTTGTCCGTTGCTTACGCATACTTATATATAGTCTTACTCTTCTTACTCTCATAAAGAAACACTTCCCTAACTACGTAGTAGGTGTCTTTCTCATCCAGTCTCCTCCCCATTTGCTCGCGGGGTCAAGGGAGTCCCTCAAAGGGAGTCCCGACCGAGGACGCCCTTCAGCCTTCCAGCAGAGCTCCGCAGGGATGGCGCTGGAGGGGCACGCTTGTGCTCCAAGATCTACGCCTCGGGGCACCTGAACTCAGCGCTGTAAGGGTGAGGTGAGGTGTCGGGAGAGGCTGGGAGGTGCTGGGAGGTGCTGGAAGTCTCTCTCTCTCTCTCCCTCTCTCTCTTTTTCGTTTTGGCTTGAGTAGGGCGGGGCGGTAGGAAGTTGGAGAGTGAAGATGCCGAGTGAAGATGAAGAAGCCAGAGCAGAAACGGCACAGATCCCATTTTTTTGCAAGAGCACCATTGCTATCCATCACCTGCATTCCTTCATCCAAGCGACGGATTGAAAGTGTTACAAGAACCTGGCTAACTCCTACGACCTTTGGTTGGATATGGTGGTTGCTTCGATTTCATGGCTTCTCTTTCATGACTTACAGTTGGGGTCTCCATTGCCATGAGCGGACTAAGACGACAGCAGCCCCCTGCCGTCTTCTAAGGCAGACCTATTGCCCAATCTTGCGCCTCAGCACACACCCACGAAGCCTCATTTGGACGAATGCCTCTGGAAAGCCTAAAGTGTTGGGCTTTGATTCTGACTGCCGGACCCTGGACCAGCTGCTCTCTGACATTCACAGCCGGCAGAGCGCAGACCTTGACATGCAAGTTCCATACTTGCCGATGGATCAGCAGGTGTCTGATGCCCAGCTGTTGACAGATGCCTGGCTCAGACTTGTATAGAAAGTGGACACTTCTTTTCTTTTTTTAGCTGTTAGATCCCTACCGTCCCTACCCTACAATCAGGTGACGCCCCCCTAGGTAATCAGTAGGGGATGCTGTTAGCTGGTCATCCAAATGTTCGATTTTCAATGAATTTCAGCTCCGCGTCGCATGTGAAATCCACCTCGTCAGCCTGAGGAGAGGCTGGAGCTGGGAGTTCTGCCTCCGGTGGAGCCAACGGCCAATGTGCCGGTGTGTCTGCCTGGGCAATGCATGGTGCAGAAGGGCAATGGCTTCGAACCTTGGTGAGAAGGGCATGGCGCCGGTAGTGCCAGGTTCTTCGAGTGGTAGTGCCCCAAAGTTAGGCCCGCAAGAGATCTAAGAGGATTAGGGCGTCTTTGGATCGTTTAGGGAGTCTAGGGCCTAAACAAGGGATTCATTATGGATTCATGAATTCAGGGGACTAAGATATACTAAGGTGTTACTGTTACTTGGTATTAGGCATCTTCATTTGACGTACATTTCAGTCGTGAATATGCCTAGCACCTAGCACCTGCACGACTACATTGACAGTTGTTTGCCGGTCCCATCTGATGCCTTCAACCTTAAACCGTTTCTTTTGAAGCAGTTTTTCAGGAGATCATGCCGATTGAAGAGGGCGGCTGCGCCATCTATTGCTGACGGAGGAGGCGCGCCCCAGTCTAATCCATAGCTCGGTGTGTAGACACGTCCTGCAGCTTGAGGAAGTCTCACCTGTTCTGTTCGCGTTCCATCCCCCAGAGTTTCTAGCCCCCCAAGCGAACGAAACATTCCATGTGAGGTCATGAATTCACCTCAATTTGGGCATCGCTTTGGCCACTGATCCACTCACTGCTTCAGTGAGTTTGGTGCCCTGAGGCGACCTCTGAGACCCGAGGGTCTGGAGGGTCTGAAGCTCTCCAAGTCCGTCCAAGACGGGCCTGGTGTACATAGCGAAAGCTTCGGGTAGGAGAGGGCCACAGCCTTCGGACCGAAGAGGATCGAAGGCTTGCGGTGGAATGAGGTAGGAGTCCAGCCATATACAGTATACCAGGAGCTTCCAAGAGGTGGTTTTGGGAGCCGAATCACCTCCAAGAGTTGACACCTCTTACATGTTTGGTTCATTTGACTCTTGAAACTCTGACTGACTCACCTCATGTCCACCGGCCTCAGGTTCATCTCATGGGAGGCCAGTCATCAGGAATCGGAAAAGACAGCGCCGATGGATGGGAACAACCAGTTTTTAGTTTTTTCAGAGATGGTCCACGCTGGCAGTTCGGCCGCCTAGTTGGAACATGCCTAGCTAGATGTGCCGAGTTTGGTCCCTTCTTCTTGGGGCCGAGTAGACGATTCAATGAGTTGATTTGCTCTATAGCTTCATACCGCTTCAAACACGCGAAGGTCACACGCTCTTCTTTGATGTCGCGGGGGCCCGAGTGACATCGAGAAGGGTCAGACGTCCTGAGTGACGTCCCTGGTAAACGTCATCTCTGCATGTTGTCGCCCCTGACATAATGAGATTGGATTTCACCTGGTCAATGGAATTCACCGTCTGCATGCCTGCCAGATGTCTATTTGAACAACGACTGTGACAAAGAATGGCTGTGACTGAAGGAAGTTCGTGTTTCGTGATGTTTCGTGAATGGTTGGTGAAAGGATGTGATTATACTTCACAAATGATTCCCATCCATTCCCTTTTGCATTCCCTCTTCTGCCCTCAAGCTCCGTCCGGTCACGGTCACGGGTCGTGCAATGGCTTCACCGGTCGTGCACGGGTGAACTCCCAATGAACATGGAAATGATGGCCTCAAGGGGGTCCTTCCGGCCTGTTCTTCTTCTAACTCAGAACTCCACCAGATGAAGGTCGGCCTGAAGTGGCAGACGGCGGAAAAGCGTGAAAACACCCATGGTGAGTTGAGGAGTGAAGAAGGCACCGGTAGGTGTGTACATCACGTCACACATGTGGCATCCACGGTGGCACCGTGGATGCCTTTCCTCCGCCTCTGCCAGGTTTCGGGGACGACAAGTGCTCTTTGATATCCTCAAGCGTTGGGCGTCGCATGCCTACCACCGCGTCCTTCAGGACACCAAGCCTGTGGGATGTCCCTGGCAAGCCCTTCCAGTGGCTCGGTTCACTAAGCTCCATGAAAGTTGGAAAGGCCTGTTGCTTTCTCCCATCATCCGGGGCCCATGCCCCAAAAGGGAAAACGGAGATATTGTGAGCTGAGACGAAGCTCTTAGACTGCCCTTCCCGGCCGGCCCTCGCTTGCCCCCAACCACTTGCGCCCATCACCCGCACCCCCCGGCTCCGGCTCCAGGCGGCCTTGGACTACGCCGATGTGGAGGTCACGGAGGCCGAGCTCCGCAGCACCTTGGTGCACGCGTACCTGGCCCTGGACGAGGCGCCGCGCCGCGAGGCGGCCCAGCGGAAGCTGTCCGATCCTCTCAGCTACTTCCACTTGACGCGGTATCCGACGCGTGGCCGGAGCGATGAGGGAGGACGGTCTATAGGGAGCGGGTGAAGGAAAGGACGTGGTTTGAGGGTGGTTTGGGGGCATTCTGAAGATGTGGAGTTGGGCCGCCTAGGAATGTTGAAGCAGTTCTGGAGCACTGGCGTTGGTACCTTTATTGCTTGACATTTGAGACGCGGGACTTCACCTCGGACAAGAATCAATGGAATCGCCTGCCTGCAGCTTGGCTGATGAGTGCGACGTCCTGGTTTTCACCCGGTGGACCAGGGTTGTTGGTGTGCATCACCAGCAAGCACATGGACAGAATGTGAGTCAATACATCTTCTGTGGCAAGCCTAGTGGTCCGGTCTTCTAGTGGCAAGGCGCTATGGCCCAACCAAAGGCCAGGATGAAGACTTGTGCCTACTGCTGCCTACTATAGCTTTGAGATGTAGCTCGTAGCATGCCTAACTTTCGGGTGGGATGCACGGGAGCTTCCAACCACCACTGTGGAAACTGGTCATCAGACATGACCAGACTGGATACCTTAAGAATATGACTGCACGGGCCCGAAACTTTGGGCCTGGACCATTCGCCAGCTGAGCATTTTTCTCAATCTTGAAAACAACCTGTGCCTGACTCAGGACGAGAGGGCGGTGCGGATGCCTATTGCTCTTCAGAACGCATTGGTTTCTGCAGGGGTTGGGTGTTCTCATTGATATACATATATATATATAGCAATATCAATATCTATATATATATAATCAGTCCCCGACTGCTTATTAACATGAAAGATGTTCATTAGCCACTTGGCCATTTGTCGCCACCACAGCAATGTAGCGCCATGAAGCGGTGTCAAGTTCAAGCGCTGGGATTTGATGAGCCTCCTCCGCCCAAAGGCTTAATTAGTTGGAAGAATTCGGCACGGTCTCTGTACTTTCAGAGGCCTTTGAAGACAGGATTAAACTATATTAAACTTAGCTATAGGACACCTAAAATTCATCCTGAAATTGTGCTGAGGACTTCGTGGATTTGGAGGTCTTAGCTTCGAGTTTCCAACTGCGCCTCACCGTGATTCAGCTGAGCTGCCCACCGGTGACCTTCGGCTTTGGCTGGAGCCGCCGCGCAGAGCTGGTGGTGCATGAGGGCTTGTGGGCTCCGATGCTGGGGCCCAGTCGCTTCAGCTATGACTCGATGTGTGTGCCTGGGACCAACATCCTTTATGAACTCGGAAGAGGCTCTAAGGGGAGAGACTACCTACTATAAGGATTTGCATGTAATTTGTATGCAATATAAGCACTTTGATTTACTTTGTATATAGATTTCTATAGGGTACCTATAGGGTATCAGGAAGAGAAATGTGACATGAGGTAGGCCACATTAAGTCACTTGCCCACTCCGTATCTATGAACTTGCTCCTCCAGTACAGTAACAGGCTGGTTGTGCAATGTCAAGGACCAAAGATGGCATATGCATGGCATGCTTCCCAACCCATGTGTTGTAGATTCTTCGAGATGAAGTTCGTTGCATTCCCAACCTGATCATCCTATATATATATAGGCATGACCTGAAACTCTCGACCGATCATGGAGGTTCACGATGTAGTGGAGCTTGCCGACACTCTGCCAGAATACCTTGAGAGCTTTGTGGGTGAATCTGGCTGCGTCCTGGAGTACAACTTCATCGAGGATTTCCGAATTCTGCTCTTTTTCATGCAGTGCTGCAGCAGTTGAACAACGATATCTTGCATGATTTACAGCAATGGTGTTCTGCGAATCTGTGTGTGTGGTCCTCGGCCTTCGCCAAACGTGGCCACCAGGATTACTACAAGATTTGCGTTGGGCAGCATGTTCTGCCCATCCCGAGGGAACACATTAAGCGCATTCTCACCAACTACTGCGGCAAGCCAAGGATCCTCAGCTCAAATGAGTAAGAGTGGTGATAGCCAAGAGGCTCAAAAAAGCACATGATGGAAGTTCCTGAGTGAGAGCATTGAGTTGAAGCGTTAAGGTGCTCAAAATGGTTGGTGGGTTGCTCTGCCCATGCTCAGGTTTCACTTTACGCACCGAAGGACCTCAGACATTAAATGTGGCCCAGGGCCAGGGCAAGCGCCGTTGCTGGCTGGCATTCCGGATGGAGAAGTGACTTGGACCCCGAAAGATGCAAGATTGGTCCAGGGCATTGGTCCGAACTGTGTGGCGTTCTTTCTGCCGGTCCAACCGGCGCCAACAGCTGGTGACCCGAATGGCTTGTCTTTTTTGTAAAACTGAACGGTTTGCACTTGTTCTCTCTTGCGGATGGATGCCCTTTACTAATCTTTATTATAATTTATTATATCATGTGACTCGTGATGGGCCAAGGGCCAAGAGCCACACGTTTCTGCATGTTCCTGCAAATCCAAGGTGGAGTTTCAACTCCTTCTCGAGTTGGTCGCTGGGATGAATTATGCAAATGGGGAAGAATGGAGTAACATTGTTTGCACATTTTTTGCGGCTACCACCAGCAGAAGAATAGATATGTAGATCAATGTGGGTAGTGACAGTGAGCAATGTGGGATGAGATTGGATGCATGGGAAACCAGAGGAGCAATCAGCTCCAAGAGAATCCGAAGCACTCCGAGGGAAGATGGGGGAGTTTTCACTGTTCGAAGGTACTCAGTGGCAGCATGAGTTGACCAATCACTCACACACTGTTTACACTCCCGAAAACGAACATGGACCCGGGTCGAATGGGACCCAGTAGGATCCGAGACTTCCATGGGACCGAAGTCGCAGCGATTCGCAACAAACATCCAGGGACGCTTCGCACGGGCTGCAGGTGGTTCACGAGGCCAAGTCGCACCTGGAAGAGATCAAAGAGCATCTCTCGGGTCAGGTCGGTGTGAAGCCTGACCCGATGCGCGACTATCAGGACGGCAGAAGGAGTTTGCGAGAATGAGTTTAGTTTACGAAACTCTTGGTGAATGACACTTCGACCGCTGGAGATATGTCATACCCCGACACGACCGCCATCTGGGACTGCCATAGGACTGCCGCCCCATTGAGCCCCTGGCACCACTGACCACCCCAACTGAGCGGTATATATGGCAGTCCCATGGAGTGTTTGGGATATAACTACACACGAGAAGTTTCACATCTCAAAAACACGTTAATATTTTCTGTGGTATGTCAGTGTGAGTTGTCCTGTTTGTCAAACAGCCCTGGGAGCGGGCCATGCTAGTGTGGACACACTGTGGGAAACAAGCTTGGGGAGTAGCTGGCAGGATTCCCTGGAACACGTTGAGACTAACCTGGATCATTTCCACTTACTGGATTCTGCTGGATCTTGACTACTCTGACGTCTTCCATGGTGCTGCATCTCCTGGGTGCAGCATTTGTAGTGGACCAATCTTCATTTCAGCCTTGCAGTCGTTTACGCTAGTCTCCAATAGCATCTTTTCCTCTCAGACCGATGCTTTCCATATTCCCCCAGGACTTAAAAATGAGCAGGTGTGCCATGTTAACGAGCACTGGGACTTGAAGCCGCGTTCCATGATAGACTTCACCGGAGTAGATAACTTTACTCCTTGTGGCAAGAACCTTGATCCTCTCCCCCAACACCCTTCCAACTAAAACGAAGGCCCATCCCGAACTTGGGCACGGTGTTGTAGCTGTGGCAGGAAGCTTTGAATGCGTTGGCTCCTTTGCCCTTGGCGGAGATGGAGGTTGTCCCATTCGAGTGGCCGCGAAAACCACCTCCAAAAGCACCCGCCGCGGAGCTTTTTGATCGGCACATGCCCTTGGAGGAGGTCGAATCTGCAGGGTTTGCGGCTTGAGACATTGGGCTGTGAGATGCATGATTGGATCGGAGCATGTGGCTGTCTAAGATAGGGAAAATCTCAAGACCAAAAAAACCCAACCGAAGGTTCGGGAAATAGACCAGTCAACCAAGCCAGGGGCTTTCGGTTGACTCCCCTATTCAAATACATACTGATGCATTTCGGATTTTTATCCCTGCGACTTCTCCGGTCACCCGAAAGCCCCTCGGCTGTTGATCGATTTGGAACGAGGTGGTGCTGCACAAGATGGTACAAGATGGTCCAAACATGTTCAGTCCAGTCTGACGTCCAGATCCCCATCCAACATGTTTTGGACGTCTCGTCGCGACGTCTCTGCGATCGTTCAGGTGCAGAAGTTGTTGGACAGCTCGTATCATCCATGGGTGAAGTGCGTCCAGAGCTTCGAGCCTCGCAGTTCCAAAGATGACCAAGCCTTCCTGCCTTGTCGGAGGGACGATTTCATTTGCCTGGTGAAAGCTGGAAGTGCCAGCGAAGATGCTTGGTTGGGATTGAGCTGTCCATTTGGAAGTGAAGGATGCGGGCTGCATGGGTTAGACGTTTAGACTCGAACGACGTGGGTTTGAGATGGGCATGATTTGCACAAGTAATGATGGATTATTCATGTGTGGCCATGCAGTCGGTTGGAGGATGGAGGGTCCAGCGTGCTCTCAGGATGGCTCCTTGAACTTCTTCGCCCGAACGCCGACCAGCCGTGAGTTGACGAAACTGATCTCAAGCGATCAGATCTGCAAGTACACTGTCCAAAAAGACTTTGCTCCCAAGTCAGACTGGCCACACCAGGCAGGGGGCAAAGGTTTCTGAGGTGACTTTTGTGTGCATCAACTTTTTTTGTTTTGTCATGTTTCCTCTGAATAGACAATAACGTGTCGAAGATGCGGAACGTCGAACCAAAGATTCTGAAGGAAATTGAAGGAATATATCTAGGAATTCTAAGTGCTTTATAGACCCTTATCGACCCCCCAAATAGATAGAAGTTCGTAGATCGCCACTTCAACATGTATTGGACACCGTAGTCTCACTATCTGAATCTATTTGGGGGACCACTACTATGGGACCACTTTTAAGGGTTGTATACCATGCCATGGCTGCCATGCCCTTTTTCTAGGCGGAGGAGTTTTTGACCGTGAAGCGCGGGGACGTGATCTTGATTTGCCAGCGATTGGGAGACCTTTGGAAGAACTGGGCCCTTGGAAAGCTCGCGAATGGGGGCGAGAAGTCCGGGAAAGAGGGCCTATTGCCTTTGGGAATCCTGGAGGCCAATGTTTTCGTTAAACAATGCCAGCGGAGTGAGGGATAAAAAGCTGCAGTGCTGCTGCCCCGCGAAGAGGCGGACCTCTTCTTTTGGACCGAGGAGATCCGTCAGAAAGTTGGCAGATGTTGGCAGTGCCACCGGATGTTGCCACAAAACGCATCCAGTGAATTGGCTGGGAGTAGTTGGCGAGTTGAGATGGGGTGATGGACATCCGAGTCGATTTCCCAAGGTGAAATGGGGCGAGCTTGTCAGCTGGAGAACTGGAGCACCGGAGAGGCAAGCAGAAACTTCGGGCCGCGGTGTTTTCGGTCATTTTTACAGCACTCTAAGGCGCAGCATGATATGAGCAAAACATAGCAAAGCAGTGAAAGATAGCTATCACATCACGTGATGAATAAATGTGGGAAGCTTAGTGTCGTCCTGTCGAGTGTTCTCATTGCCGTGGATGATCAGAACTCAAAAGACAAATGTGGGCACTTGGGCTCAAGCCAAGCAGTCACGTCCAAAAGTGAATCCGCAAAATCACTCTTGGTCTTACGTCTTGTGTTCCGCTTCCCTGATGGACAAGACCGCAACATCACCAGGATTCTGCATTGGCCCAAAGAAGAACAAGGAGCTCTACAAGTATCAACATGCGGGCTTTGAGAGATGTGGTTTCCCGGTGTTTAAGGCCAAGCACGGGAAAAGCAGCTTCTTATGGATATTCAAAACCAACGATGATGACTATCATTTTCAGTGCAACGAAGGCAGTGACTTTGATACATCACAACCCCGTTATCGGACAGAGGGGGCTCCATGGGTGCCAGGATGGCACTCTTGGGAACAAATAAACAAAAAAAAAACGGGTGTGGGAGACGTGGGGTGCATTTGAAACTACGCTCTCCCAAGAAGGCGACCGCAAGTCGGGCAGTGTACTAGCAGGTGTACCAGCGAAGAGAGCACAGTGCTATGACGAGCCACTTCCAAAAAGACGACGCTATGACGACAACACAGTGCACAACACAGACGAGGATTGGCTCTCCGATCAAGAAGGCACCACGGACCGCAAGTCAGGCAGTGTACCAGCAGTTGTACCAGCGACGAGAGCACAGTGCGATAACGACAACACAGTGCACAACACAGACGAGGATTGGATCATGAAGGCACTTCCTGTTGATGAATTGCTGTATACTCAATACAGCATGTCATCACACTTCCGTGATGGGAGCTCTGTTAAAAGACTGATTGAAGAACTCAATGCTCGGAAGTTTGATACCATGAAGAAGGATTTTCTTTGCTTAGACGGATACGAGATTGATGGCCGCGTTTACGCCACCGACAACAGGCGTTTGTATGCCCTGAAAGCACACCAAGAATTTCAACGCGAAAAGGGATCATCAAGGCAGGTGCGGATCAAAGTAAGAGTCAGACTGGTGACAAATGAATTCTGGAAGCGTATCCTAAGCCGGGGGCTCTACGATCATGGAAGAAACATCAACATCCGCAAGCGTGCCTGAGCATACCCGCTGGCTGTTGAAGGCCAGAGATCACACAACTTGTCCTTAATTAATAAGCGCCTGCAATTTAAAATGGATTTGCAGATTGACAGGATCCTGCAATCGTTCACCCCTGAAACAGGGTTGCATGAAGCTCAATCTTCACCCAGCAGCAAGCGCCGCAGGACGAAGTAGTTGGGAAAAAGACCAGAAGTGTTCACATGTCTACTTACTGATACCACTGATTTACCACTGTTCAACTATAACTGAGAACCTAGCAACACCTACAATAAGAACCCAGCTAGCTAGCAACTAACTAGCTCTCTTGAGACGTCTCTGTGGAAGCTTAGCTTTTTTGGTGGAGTCACTGACTGGCAAGGACTTTTCATGCAAAAGGCATGGACCGAGTTCTCTTAAAGAGAAAAGGCACCAGCTGGCGGCACTGTATGAATCCATGATGTAACAGTTGTTTCTCAAAACCACCATTCGTGAAATATATTCTGTTATATATATTCTTTTATATCATTCTATATTCTTCTATATACTTTTATAACCCTTTAAAGGACTTTTTTTTAATAGCCTATTTATAGTGGGTTGCAGTAATGCAGATTGCCCTCCCTCCTAAGAAGTCTGTGAATTTTGGTGAGGCTGGAAACAACACCGTTTCTGTTGGCTGCCTCAAGTTTAAAAAATATGAGGTGCACATTGCTGATGGCTCTCTATTTTATTCTTGACTTGTGGTGTGATCCTTTTGTTCCACTTCCCTATGCATCGTCGCAGAGAGACCGAACAGATTGAGCTGCCAAGGCTGCAACTTGCGCTGGTTGGATCTTTCCAAGAACAAAATCGTGCGTATGACGCCCAGATACCATTGGAACAAGCAGCATACGAGAAGATCCTGTTCGACAGGGGTATTGCCGGATAGCATTCTATAGCCCAAAGGTTTCTAGACACAGTCAGGTGTCGTGCTTTTCTGATCGTGGCAGCTGTTCAGACTAACCCGTTTGGAAGATGTTGCAGGCATGGAAAATCTGGATGGTCTGAGCCAGTTGGTCTTTGTTACTCGGCCAACAATGGTCAGGCCTGGAAAAGATTGAGAGTTCTGGAAAGCTGTTGAACTCTGAGATTGGAAGACCAGATAAAAGACAACACATTTGGAAATCGACATCACATAATTAAGTCTTCACCAAATTTTCACACTAAATCAGGTAGATCTGTCCTCCAACAAGATAACGAAGGCGGGATGAGGCGTCGGATGTTTGGCACACGGCCTAAGCTCGGCCATTGGTCCAGGCTCATGACGTGGGTGGAGCACCAAAGCTGGAATGGGTAATGCAGATCAACTGTTTAGAGTTCAAGTTGTTTATATGATTCATGTGTTGGTGTTGGTCGTGGTCTTGGATTCAATCATAGCGACACCACGGGAAATTGCCGAGCGAGGGACAAATGTGGTTGGGGGTTGCCCAGGTGGGCGACAACTTTCAGCGTCAAGTTCCCAACGTGTCCGACTCAACGCACCGACAATGTTAAGACTAAAATAGGTTTGTTTCGGAGTGTTGCCCAACTCACGACAGCTAAAGCAACCAAATTTGTCCAAATGTTCGTGTCTGAGCGATGAGGCAAACCGGCAAACCCCATTTCCAAGTTGGTGGACTTGGAAGGCCACCAAACGGCCGAACGGTGCCATGTTTGGAGTCAAAGATTTTGGTCCCCATCACGGGCATGGTCAACATTTGAGGCTTTGTAGTTGTTGATGTGTTTTGGCGATTCTGGTTGGTTTTCCTCAGAAGACTTAGGGATTACAACTTGAAAAATCGGGGGTCCTTTTCATGTTGTTTATTTGTTGATAGGCTTTTAGAAGATCTTGAAGCCTGTAATGACGTTTGTTGTTTTCAGATGACGCTTGAAGGTTTGAAGTCTGCAACAGCCTTGCGACACCTCGCCTTTCAAAACGTGGACGGGGATGAGGGCTTTGTTCAACACATGTCATTTTCAATGCACAATCCTGCTTGCATTCGCTTGTGTGTGTGGACAGTGCCAAAAACCCCCTTCAAAGTTCACTGCTCTTTGCTGGAGGACTCGTCAGACTCTTGTCCAATTTGCTCTTTGCCAGAGTTTTGACCTCATATCGTCTGTCTCAGTGTTTGCAAACAACTCTTCGCAACACAGAACTGGTTGATATGTTGCTAAGAATATGCCTCCTAGCTGTGTCCATGGTTGAGCACGAGAGCAACTCATCCTGAAGAGCGTGAGGGCAAGGCATCCTAAAGGGATAAGACTTGAAGTGACTTGTCCCACTTGTTACCTCTTTCAAGTCGGACTATACGTTTTCCTTGGGTCACGGTGGGTACGAAAGCCATTTAGGCTCTCGACACCGACCAAAAAGCAGCAGCTTCCAAGCAGAACCGCGACCCATGAACCGCATCGCACGCCTTGCCAGCCACGTGAGGGAGGGTGCGGGTGCAGCGCAGGAAAGTCCTTTGGGGGTCCAGCCCACTGCCGGCTATTGTGCGGCGGAGAAGGCGGATGACGATGTGGTCATTTGCTGTGCGGTGCGCACGCCGTTGTGCAAGGCGAAGCGTGGGGCCTTCAAGGACACGGCACCGGAACTTCTGCTTGCAGCTGTCTTCAAGGAGGTGGTGGCCAGGACCAAGGTGAATCCAAAGGACATTGGTGACATTCAGATCGGTAACGTCCTGCAGCCAGGTGCCAGTGGTCTCACCTCACGCATGGGGCAGTTCATTGCTGAGCTCCCTTATGAGATCCCTTTGAGCACCGTGAATCGTCAATGCAGCAGCAGCTTGCAGGCCACTGCCACCATCGCGGCCTTCATCAAATCGGGTGTCATCGATATAGGTTTAGCCGGTGGAGTCGAGAATATGAGCATGTTCCCGATGATGGCCACCATTGACATCACCAAGCTTTCCAAAGATGTGCTGGACTACCCGGATGCGGAGGCCTGCCTGCTTCCCATGGGCCTCACCAGTGGCTAGGCGATCGTTATTAGATATGTTTTTGATTGTTTTTGGCTTTTCGACCATTAAAGCCAAACACTCCATGTATGGAATATATGCCGCTCCTTTGGCCTGAAACCACCCCAATGTATGCAAATATATGCCAGTCCCATGGAGTGCCTGGGCCATATGTGAATTTGAACCCGCCGAATCCCACTGACTGATCTGTTGCGAATATTGTGGAATTCGTGGAAACCAAGTATATAACATTCCAACATCAAACCAACCAAGGTGAGAACGTCGCTGCGGCGTATGGCATTCCCCGTGATCGCCAAGATGCCATGGCAGCGGATTCGCATTTGAAGGCTTTGGAAGCTCAGAAGAATGGCTGGTTCAAAGAGGAGATTGTGCCGGTGACCATTGAGTCGAAGCAAAAGGATGGCAGCATCAAGAAGGTCATTGTGGATAAGGATGAAGGTCCACGAGGCGGCACGACCAAGGAAAGCCTTGGCAAGCTGAAGCCTGCTTTCAAGGCTGGAGGCAGCACCACTGCAGGGAACAGCAGTCAAGTGACCGACGGCGCCGCCATGGTGCTTCTGGCTCGGCGCTCAGTGGCCAAGAACTTGGGTTTGCCCATCGTGGCACGTTTCCGTTCCTTTGCCTGTGTGGGCGTGGACCCCAAGCTCATGGGTATTGGCCCTGCGTTTGCCATCCCTCCCGCACTCGAAAAGGCCGGATTGAAGGTGGAGGATATTGACATCTACGAGATCAATGAGGCTTTTGCATCCCAAGCGACCATGTCGATCGATCACCTGAAGATCCCCATGGAAAAGGTGAACCCTAAGGGTGGTGCGATTGCCCTGGGCCATCCCTTGGGCGCCACAGGGGCCAGACAGATCGCCACCCTCTTGCCTGAGCTGAAGCGTCAAAATAAGAAGTTCGGTGTCACATCCATGTGCCTTGGAAGTGGCATGGGTGCGGCCTCTGTCATCGAGCTCGAGTGAGCGACGGAGAAGCCCAACGACCAGCTGACCAGCTGGTCAGAATGACTCGATCATAGAGCCGGCCGGGCCCAAGATGGCACTGAGGAACCCCACAATGGATGCTTTGTGCTGTTTTGCTTGGGCTTTGTTTGAAGCTGCTCGAAGAGAGGCAGCATATAGATGCATATACTGTAGTAGAATCATTTTGGCACGCTGCAACTTCTGGAGCAGGTGCAGGGCAAAAATGGACTCATCACATGGGCTTTCATTCCGACTCGTGCTTGGCACACTTGCAGTCGTGACCATCCAAATCACCCCTCTTTCTTTGGGCATTTAGCGTTTTTGGACACTGAATGCGGCAACGACGTGGGACGCATCATGTTTCATTTTCGGCAGATCTCCTGTCACTAACACGAACAGTTTCCAGTGGTAGGTCTTGGGTGGAGTTGATGTCCTTTTCCAGTGCCTCGGCATGCAACTTTCCAGCAAGTTTCTCACGATTTCACACTCAGATACCCTTGGTTCAAGATTCTTCCAGAAAAACGACGGCCCTGCCATTGATTCACCAGGCCATTCCAACGCTGGAACGCCCCCATCAAACCCGTGCAGACCGGGCTTTTGCAGCAGGGTGTGGGACAAAGGGAAGTCCTCCAGTGGATGCACTTGAAAGGAATATCAGTTTCGTTTTGGAAGTGTGTGTGTTTGTGGGCTCGCATGCACATGTAGCAAGCAAGGATCTTTCTATAGTATCTTTTTCATGTACCTGTTCGATATTCTGTCAGTCGAAAGGAAAACGTGACAAGGCAACAGGCTTTTGGCTTCAGTAAAGGATGTCTTGGAGTACGCATCCCTCACTAAGGCCACTGAGGATTATCTAATCAATGTAGTGAGTGGATATATAGACACCGCATTCCCTTGCACATTTATAAATTCACCAGTTGGACACCCCTTGTCAAGCATCAGCTTTCCTGGTCCGCCGATGGCGCAGACCAGAAGCACTCGACATGATCCTTGAGCTCCCAGGTGTGTGACGTTTGCCAGTTGGGAGCGCGTGAAGCAAGTCGTCCGCACCAGCCTGGCGCACAAAACAGCCATGCGGTTCTTTGGGATGGGTATGTGTGTTCTCCATGGCAATCTAGGAATAGTGCTCAGCCTCACTGAATCTCACTGCAAATGATTGGCAAGGCATCCAAAGGTGGTGCTGCATGGCCAATCTTAGTTGGTTGGGAGATTTTTCTGGCTGGGGATTGCCACATTAGATCAAATCAAAACAAATTAGTTAGTTCTTGATGATTCTGAGCGTACGCCTTGATGGGAAGAAATGCATCCAGTTTGAGAAACAAGTTTGGCGACGGAAAGAACCTTATATGTACAGTGGATGAGCTGACTGTATGCCCTGAGTGCCTCTTAAATCAACCTTTTGACATTGACGATGGGTTTTGCATGGTTTTGCTTCTCACATGCGGCTCCAACCTGTGGCTTCAGCGTTGGCGAATAACCAAGTATGAGGCTTCATGTTGACCAACAAGCAAAGCACTCCAATGAATGAAGCATGCGCTTGCGCAAACTATGGCAGACTCCATCGATTTGACAAGGCCATGATCAGCGGGGCAAGGGACCGCTTCCCAAAAAGGAAAGGATCGTAAGCCAAACTCAGAGTGGGAAAAGTCCTTCGCGGGGCACAGTGCAGCATTCCCAGCACCTAGCTGACTCAAGCTGGTAATATCTTGCTCAAGAATCGAGAGGCTCTTGCGCTGGGTTCCCGGAATCTTGCTCCTTGCCATGGCCCATGAGTGCAGGTCCATTTTTCACCGGAATCAGTGTTTTAGCAGCAAAACAAGAAACATTGTTGACTCCGTGATCTGGAAAAATGTTGTGAACAATGACTTCTCCGGTGCTGCGTATCAACCACGTGATGTTTTGGTTCGGGGCGTTGGCACCGGAACTTCAGTGCACTCAGAGTGGGGATGCCACATGCATCCAGTCGCAGCTTGCAGGCTCAGCGCCCCCCACGGGCACGCGCCTGAAACTTCGACTCGGCGCCAAGGAAGCAATCTGCGACCTCAGTGGGAAAGGGTTGATGAAAGACGGTAAGAGGCACTTCAAGGATCTTCACGGCGATGTTGCTTGCTTTTGCTAGGAAGGAGCATCAGGATCCGTGAGCCACCTAGCTGGTGAAGTGGGTCGTGGGGTTTCGATTTTTGTCTTCCGAGTCCAAGCCAGCCAAGACGCCTGTGCACAGGAGCAGAGCTCTGGTGTCGCCTTACCCAAGGTGGAGACTTGTGCGGTTTGGATTTGGATGGAGGTCGTGTCAGAACAAAATGGTCAGGTCTAGCGGAGTCTAGCGGGTCCGGCCATTTCCTGCCTCACGCTCTTGGCTACTTGTAGAAAGATCTGACATTCTTGAATATTTTTGACACACACACACATATATATATATACATATATATATACACATGCACTGTTTCATCGCGGCAGCTGAACGCGAGCTACCACAACTGTGGCACAAGCCTCTGAGCAAACAAAACGCATGTCGAAAGCACTCCCGAACGGAAGTTCTAGAGCACCGGTCTGCCTCACTGAATGTCCCCACTGCCTCACCCCGTCTCCATTGGTTGTTCCACATCTGACTCGGCTGTTTTCACGTCTGGCAGGCCAAGTCCGCCAAGTCCGCCAAGTCCCATGGGCCTCAGGATGCCTGGGGCCCAAACCTTATGCCGGCAGAAGGTGTTTCACAGGTCAGTTCGACCTGTGATTTCGATGCACTGCACACTAAACCACTGGGATTCAGATGGACAAGCTGCTCAGGGAAACGCGGATGGAGGAATGGATGACCAAAAGGCCGACCAATCACGACTCGGATTTTCCATGTTCCAAGACCCGGCACTCGGGTGGTGCCTTGGTGCCATCCACTTTCATGGGTTTGCAGGGAGTGTACGAAGAAGACCCTCTCTCAGAGCGTTGCTAAGTCATTGCGCGGGTAGCAGCTGTCATGACATTGAACCATTATTGTGACATGTTGAATGTTTGGAGAGCACTCAGAGGGGTGCGCTGTTTTTGGTTTGAAGCCCAGGTGTTCTTAGAGCGGAAAAGGCAGCTGCGGAGGAAACTGGAAGAAGCTTTAGCAGGCGCAAGGAAGAATGAGGATCCAAGCTGACCATTTCAAGTGGATACCGGGACTTTGAATGGCATTAGTGTTGCTGATGAGAAGGCATTGGAATCTTGAAAGTATCATCTTGGAAATCTGAACCTCAGGCTGCCCTTCCGAATCTGCCGAAGTGGGACAAGTAGTAGCTTGTCTGGAAATGCCGCATCTGAGGCATGAGAGGTTTTGTTGACAAGATGCGCGACTTTGCCAAGTCTCTTCTCCAATCCGTTTCTTCATGCAAGTCCTGCAGGTGCTTTATCTCAGATCTACCCATCCGTTTGGGCTCAAGCCGGGATCGGCTTTGCATTTCAGGGACCTTTGCTGGCGAAAACATCGGTGGCGAAAACATCGGAGAATGGCGGACATCGAGGATCTCAAGTTGGAATGTCGCGAGATTCCATCCGGCAGCGATCGTGGCTCTTCGAGCGATTCCTATGACAGCCCCCTGGAATGCATCGAATTGTGTTGCCCTTAGAATTGGTTTAAGGGAAAGTCTACACCTTAACATCTCCAAACTATGGGTTTCCTGCAGATTTTCCCTTAAACCCATTTATTGAGTTGCAGAATGTGTCGGTATAGGCCTGTCGGAACAGTGTCTACAGTGTCTGCAGTCTACACTCTGCAGAGCTGCAGAGCTGTACTCTGCTGTGGGGCTCAGTGTGACCTGACGTGGCTCCTGTGGTTTGAATCCCACATCCCGAGGTGATGACTCATCCTCCTCGTCCTCCTCTGGAAGACGCCCGGGCAACAAGCGTCGCATGCGCTCCCGAGAGAGGCAGAGAAAGCGAGCGCCTCCGCGCAAGACCTGCCGCATCTCGGCCGCGAAGGGCGATAGGAACGCCACTGGCGCCAACTAGAGACAATAGGGACAGGTTCAGGGTCGCCCATGATCGACATTTGACATGACACACAAGGCCCAGGTGCCATGTGATGCCCCGCCGGAAGAAGGCAGTTGAAAGACCCCAACCGAGGACATCGGAGCGGGTCGTCTTCTTTGGAGCGCCCACCGGGCACATGGAGGCTGAGGTCTAGAGCTCGTTCCGAGGACTTCAGACGCTCCAAGAGCCGCGACTTCGGTCGAAGTCATAAGAGAAGTGCAGGTTGGGTGAGAATCGCATGAGCCTTCATGACTTCATAGTCAGGTGCCTCATGCTTCTCAAATTGTAAGGGCTCCGCCCTGGTGCCGCCGACCCCTTTTTTGTGAGACAAGGCAGCATGGCGAGGAAGGCAACAACCGAAGTTGGACATAGTGCTCCCCAGCTACTCTGCGTACTAAAGTTGTATTGCTAAGTCGCCACTTCTCATCTTCCAGCTCCACAGCTATACTCCGCGTACTAAAGTTGTACTACGCAGTCGCCAGTTCTCAGCTTCCAGCTCCACAGATTCCTCCGCGTAC